CAAAGTGTTCCAAAATCAAGTACCAGAGGCACTTGAGGAAAACATTTTAAAATATAGTCATATGAGAGAGCAAAAAATTCTGAGCAAAATGAGGGGTCGCCTAGTTCTTCACGATGTTTTCTTATAAAGTTATAAGCATCAGAAAAGTAAAAAAAAATGTGTTTTTAGGCTATTTTTAGTGGTTTTTTGATGAGTTTTAAAGTTTTTTTGGGTGTTATATCACTCTATTGGCACCCACACCCTTATTAGGTTTTTATTGGTTAAAATACAGAGGTATGATTATGTTCGCTGAATTTTTTTATTTTTCTGTGTTTAAGTCAACATAAAACGTCTTAATATTTTTGGACATCTATTGAAATATTAAACTTTAATGCATTATGCTTTCAATCACTGTAGCCAGGTAATTAGAAGATTAAGTTTCTTATTTCGATTCATGGTTAATGTATTACTATTTTTAGTACGAGAAGACTTTAGCTTAGCTTGATCTTGATTGTAGTAGAATCAGTGAGAATGAATTTAAATTTGGATATAAATTTTAGAGTTCATGCTAGAAAAGAAATGGGTCATGTTGATCTACGACTTATTTGATGAAATGTAACAAAAATGTGTCAGATATTGTCCTAGGATAATGCAATAGTGAACCGGATGATTAAAATAGGTCCATAACGATGTTTTAGTATTTATATATTACTTTTATCTAAAGTATTTTATAGATGCAGTCTTTCTTTTTTAGTCTCTTCAAATAAAATAAGTGTTTCTACGTGCTTTTCTAGATATTTCGTTAAAATAGACGGCAGATAATACACAATAAAACATCAATTTCTTTTATTTTCATTAAAAAATGTTCCAGTAAAGGCGATCTAGAGTTAGTAAAATAAGTAAAAGTCAATCGCTTAGACATGATGATAATGTTACAGTTTTCATGTCAAAACAAGAAGACAGTAATATTACATATCTTTGAATAATTACTAATCAAAAAGCACATAAATCTAGAAAGATATAAGGTTTGTCACTATTTTCTATTGAAATTAAATCTTTTTGATTAGAGGAACAATAACCAAAGAAGGAAGTATCTTTAAGCTTCTGTATTTTCAGTGAATGTTTTTTATTGGTGTTTTATTTCGACTTTTCTTTACTTCCGATGAAAAAGAACGGTTGAGTACATATTTTTCAGATATTCGTATGCTCTTTGAAGACACTTATATGGGTTTTTTTTCGAAATGCGTCCTGAAGGCCGTTTTTTTTTCATTCCATTGAATGCGTTCTTGATATGAGAGAATGATTATTTACACTTTAAAAAAGCGTTCTGAGCAAGGAACGAGTATTTATTTCATTGTGACACGTGTAACGGTTTATTTCCTTTTTTGTGCTTCCTTCTTCAACTTTATTCTATATATGAATGAAAAAAATCTCTCCTCTTTTCTTCCTGACCTCGCTTTGTTCTCGACAGAGGTCAAGACAAAGAGGGAAGAAAAGTGATATACAATTGGAGGTGACCTGTCTGGGAGAGAGATATGTTGTGATTCGTCACAACACGTTCAATGAGAAATAGTTTATTGTGATCAATAGTACGTTCTCTTTTGACTAGAAGCGCGTTCAACACCAATGAAACCCATTTCTTAAGAATTACATTCGAGTACTTTCAATGTGTGAGTGTCCTGCTATTATTGGAACAGATCGTTTTCGTCAAATACAGAGCATACGTTTCGATAGAAAGCAAGATGGGTCTCTAGAAATGCGGATAAGTATCTTCAGAGCACGTTTCATCATTTTCAAAATGCGTCCCAAACCTTTTTTGTGCTTTTGATTTCACCGGTTGTTCACAAAGACATTTTCGAAAATTGCTTTCAATGTCAACGAAGAAAAAATCTTTGATTTATACATTGTAGTATAAATAAAAGAACATTATTTCTCCGACGAGCAAACGGCGAATAAAAAGACTGATATCTAATCCAGACGACACGTCCGGTATAGTCTTTTTCTCAAAACAAACTGCTATATGACTAGTCCGAAATCGTTTGGAATATTTAGGATCAGTCAAAAATAGATTGTAAATTTAAAAAAAAAGAAGAGCGTCAATGACGCGACATTCATCAAGATCTAGTTATATATGTGCACAGAGTTAGATTGGAACATGCATGGCATATATTACTTACCCACATTTTATCCGATGGAACCCTATGATCAAGTGATCAACTTTAACATATTAATAGATATTTTAAGATGATAATTAATGTCCTTTGACTTACTTTGTCTCAACTGTTAACATCAATAAAAAATGTTTATTATAGAATCTGACATCAGGTAAATAGAGATAAATATAATTAATTGAGAGTTTTTTTTTGTCATCGATCTTTGAAAAACAATTGATATTTCAAAACAAAATAAAAATAATGTTTATTTTCAAAAAATTCTTTCCTTTCATGTCATAGTCTACGTTTATTTTCACTTAAAATATTTTCGATTTAAATTTGAAAATAAACTAGAATTCTATGATTTAAATCTCCTTTTAACTTTAAGTCATCAGATTTCATAGTAAGATAAAATAATATTCTCCTACTAAAATTTATTGTTCTAATAAAATTACAGTCTAAAAATTTAAAGGATATAAATAGGCAACTCTCGTTAGATACATGGTTCTAGTCTCCATGTAAATGAGTTGCTCGGATAATTAAGAGATTAGTCTCAATCAAAACTGACACTAGTTCCTTAAAAAATAGCTATTCATGACTAGACAAACGATTCTTCATATTAGTCCGGATTGCTATCGAAAACAATCTAGACTAGTCAGATATTCAATACTGTCGGATCGAATTCACCTATCGTCTCCTTTTCTTCTGACTTTTATCGTTATGCTGACGCATCTGAACAGGATAATCATTCAAAACAGACTAGTCAATATTAGCTGGCAAGATGTTGTGCGTCAAGACAACTCATCCTGATCGACTGCATGCCATTTTCGACTAGGCCATACGGTAGTGCACATATATATGAGACTAGTCATGTCAGGCGACCTTCCTTATTTTTATGTAGCTATTTAATCTATATCGTAATGTGTGTTTTAAGAAGTCAACCAGGCTTTCGGCACTGAGTTAATCAGTATAGGTAAGCAATAAGGTATTTCCTATTCAAGAATATACCATCAAGGTAAATTTTTCCTTTATTTCCAGTTAAAAGTCTTTGTTTTTATAGAAGAAAAATTTACATCTTCCGTCATCTTGTTATTCTTAACTACGTTTCTGCTTGTGAAAGGGAGTACAATGTCCTCTATTGCATTAGTTGAATAATAATCGGTAGTATTGATCTTAAAAATAAATTTTTGATTTATTTATATCATAAATCATCTTCTTTTTTTGTATTGCGACAATCACATATCAAAACAACAAAATTATATTTTAGAAACAGTATAGAAAATCATTTTTTAGCTTATTGAATAGTATGATGCCATTCAGTTACCTCAACATAATGTTAATATATGCTAGATTTTCAGAATTTATTTGACAAAGGGATATGTGAATGTGTCCACTTGTTATTTGATTGAACCTATATTCAAGTGAGCAGTGTAAAAGTATATGAGAGTTTCATTGTCTGAGCTTCTTCTTTTCATAGATTGTCTTCTACCGTATTTTATTTTTATTGAGAAATTGTATATAATCAATACAAAAAGAATAATTATTTCTTTTTCGTTACGAGTTCTTTTTATCAGTATCCATCATATCTGAGTCATCTATACAGTTTCGAAGAATGAAGGATCAATAAAATTTTCACACAACTCACCATGTCCTCTCATCATAATACAATTTCAATCGAGCAGTATTTCGACTGCTATGGAAATTCCATCATTAACAATAAGCCACTATAACAACGATCAGTAATTATCACACAAAAACGATAATCGATTTGTTATTATATCTAGAATCACAATATTGAGTTGATAATAAACATTTACAAAATATTTGACTATTCTCTTACCGAATTTCGAATGCTTCTTTCTTATTTCTAGTACATGATATACAATCATTCGAAGAGGTTTTTTTTCTAGATATTGTCATCAATATTCAATCGATAAAGTAAATTCGAAAAAAAATCAAAAGGAACTTAGATTATGTCTGGAATGAGTGCTGCTGAACGTTTGCGTAATGATAATGTTCGGCTATGTCGATTGTGTTTTTGGTCCAATTTCGAAGGACTTGGTTTTAATCTTGAAAAATCTGCTCAACCACCGCATATAATTCGACTTGTCGAACCTAATAGTCCAGCTGCAGCTGGTGGTTTGAAAATTCTTGATGTTGTATTAACTGTTAATCAAGAAGATGTATCCCAAGCCGATTATAGTCGAGTACGAGATGCTATAAAAATAGCTTGTGATAGCAAGAATCCGATTGAACTACTCGTTGCTAAACAACGTTTTTATCAACAATTAAAGACAAAAATTATTTTAATTAATCCTGAAATGGTAACTATTATAAATACACCAGAAAAAATGCCAAGTGATTATTTAAATTTTCCTAAACATATATCACGTACATGTTATATATGCTTAAATGACAAGGAAACATTATTTGGTTTTGAAACTATTCATGGTGAAAAGGATATTGGTCTATGTATTCAAAAAGTATTTCCAAATACTCCAGCTAGTAATACATCATTACGTAAATGTGATCGTATTATTGAAATCAATGATAAATATGTTGATAATGATTTAAGTAGTTCTATATTAGAAAAATTAAAAAAAGCAAAAATGCAAGGTGTTGTAAAATTATATGTTGTTGATACAGAAACATATAAATATGCTCAAGTAAATAAAATATCATTAAAATCAAAACGACAACATCAAAACGAATTAACAGGTAGATTATTACTAAATCAAATAATATATACATATATGCATAAAATTTCATTACTAATCCGATCAACCTTGAATATTGTACTTATTAAAAATGTAAAAAACTAAGCAGTTTTGTATCGTTTCTCAGTCTTTATTTATTAGGGAAAAAAGTATCTAAATAGCTTTCGTTCTTTTTTCCTACCCAAAGAAAAAAAGATGACAAAAATTAATGATAATTTTTTTTTCATTTAGTTTCGTCTATCAATCATGGTAATCAATCATTACGACCGAATACACCAATAATTATGGATTTATGTGATAGTCATCGTGCTGATTCTATCAAACTTAATTATGATAATCAAGAAAAATTTCATTCATCAACTATTGCATCTGTTCGAGAAAATGGAGAATTAGATGACATTCATTGTGTTCAAATTGTTTTTACACTTTTTTTCGCTGGTTTTTTATTCTTGTACTTATCTTACTCATAATATCAAAATAAATGCTATCGTTTATTTCAAATAGATTATTTTTAGTTTTTAAAAATTACAAATACATAAAGGGTGAGGGTGGATAGGTTCGGGCCAGAGTGGATGTGATTGTCGATGAAGAGAATACTAATTAGTACAATGATTTTTTAGTTTTTGTATAATGCTTGAAAGTTTTTAAGGAAAGAAATAAAAACAAACATAATATCTCATTTTAAATGATATTATTCAACAAATGAACTTTGGTGAAATGATTATGTCGATGAGTGTGGATCGAAGCTGCTCGTCTGGTCTGATCATGCTAAAACTTTTAGTCTGAGTATGATTTAATACCAACATTTATAGTATTTATTACTAAGAATAAGACGACTTCGTGAGTCGATGATGATTACTTCTGATGTTTTCTGTTGATCATCAAGTCAATCGATGTTTTATAAGGTTTTTGATCGTGTTTGTTACTATTAACGTTCAGTTCTTGGGCACTTAGAATTTTTCAATCTCTTTTTGAATATTTTACTTTGATGATACACAACTAAAATTACTTCTAGCACTTTTTATGCTAAAAATATTTAATATTCTTCTTACTTGTCCAATTTTATACCCAGGATGATCGCGAAGCTCAGGCAAAGAGTTCCATGGTTCCAAGAGCTGGTCTAAGCTAGAATAGAATTCAGAGTATCGTTTCATAAAAATGATGAAGATTTAAGTTCTGTTCACTTGAAAAATTATTGTTTGAATAAAATTTATCAAACCGTAAGATTAGTAGAAGATTTTCGGCTAATTTTGAGAAGTTCTCACTCGTACATATTTAAGATTGAAGATACGTTACGTATCTATAGATAGTCGTCACTTTATTTCGAAGAAATTGTGTCGAAGATTTTCATAAAATTTATCTTAAAATTCATTCATGAATGCTCTTACTCGAGAATTGAAACGTATATAATGAATTGATGCTAATTTGTAAATTTCATAATAATAAACAATCTGAAACATTAGTTCGCTTAGTTTGGCCTTCAGGCCTAATCACATCCGTATTGTACATTATTTTACAAGTAAAAGCTCACACATCACAGATTCAATTTGTTCAGTCTAATGCGTATCTGGTTTTCCAATACTGAACAACTCTATGAATTTATTATGTCCGATATGAATTGTAGAGCCATCGATTAGAGAGAAGATTCATAATTCTACCTAGACAATTCTACACTAATTAACGATTGCAAATAAGCTAAATAGTTTATTCTGATAGTAGATCAAAAAATAAACTTTACATGATATATTCGGACAAAGAAAGCATTCATGTTTGTAAGAAGAATACATGAAACTAGAAATAATAAAATCAAATGACAAAAGCTACTTATTGTCTTCAGATTTTTGAATAGATAAATAAAATTCAATGTGGTTCAAAGTACAATATCATTTAATTATATCAGTAGTCGTTCAAGTTTGCTCAAATGAACCGAGATATGTTTGAGAAACTACAGAAAATACAAAAGTTATTCGGTGGTTTTCCGCTAAATGTTTCACAAATTGTGAATGGAATGAAGAATACTGTCGAGTCATTAAAGACAGTAGTAACCAACTTGAAACAGTCTAATCATATATATATTCATGATTATAATGTATTAACCGAACATACGAATCGTGATTCAATAACGGCTAAAAGGATGTGTAATGCGCTTGAACATTTTTCAGAAGCTTTAAACATGCTGATGGAGTTAAAATCTTTAACAGAAAAACAAGAAAACATACTCGTACATGAACTTTCACAATGTTATCGTATTGAGCATTTTGTCGCCCAATTTCCGAATGTGGAAACGCGTGAGAAAGCTGTCGAAATCATTGACCGAGTGCTTCGCCGTTGTAAACTAGAATCGAATGGTGTTGCCTCCCAGCTCGATGAAGATGCTCGGATATGTTATGCTATATTACATATGCTTTCACATGAATTAGTCCTTCAATTTCTCGGTCCATGTAAACAAAAGTATCCAAAATGCATTCATTTTTTCAAATTAAGTGCAGCAATGAATGGTTTCTTAAGTCAATATGAAGCTACTATATATGATGCTAATGCCGGTCTGAAAATTGATCCAAACTATTATGAATTATTGTATGATAAAGCTGTTGCATTGCGTTTATTAGATAAAGATATGAATGAAGCAATCGAAGCGTATCGCGCATTTCTTACGATTGCTCCTAAAGACCATCGCAAAGTACCTGAATCATATTATGCAATGGCCAACTGTTATTTTGAACTTCACCAACGCGATATTTCGACAGATATTGTAAAAAAAGTATATGAACAAGGGGAAGAGGCAGAGAAAGTACAATTACCATGTTTTCTACCTTATAACTCAAACAACAAAACAGAACTCAAATTCATGTTTGATAGGAAATCTCCCCCAAATGTAAATGTAGTAGCTCCACTTCTTGATCGCAAATCGCGTCTTCTTGACCCACATCGAATTAGAGTTATTAAACAACATCGTCAATGGCAAGCTGCATTATTAGAAGCGAGAAATGATTCGATGTACACGTTGATGTCTGGCAGTCATGAACCTCGAGCTCAACAACAAGCAGTCGAATCATTAATTGGTTTAAAACCAATTTCATTGAGGGAAATCGATCCAACAAAAGATCATGTTTATAATGGATATGTTCTTTCTGTAACAATTATCGAAGATGCATACTCATGGACTCCATCCATTCATCTTGTGATTGAAGATGAACATCTAGATTGTGAACGAATGTTTATTTATGGTTTTCCTGAAGGACATGGCAAATACTTAACCAGTAAAGTTTTCACACTTGGTAGTAAAATGAGCATTATGAATCCATACTTACGATTAGGTGGAAGTGATATGAAATCCTCAGTTCGTATTGATGACTTTTCATCAATAATTATGCAAAATGAGTCTGAACGAGTGTTGAATATGTGTCGATGCTGTGGAACATCAAATGCATTACATGTTTGTGGTAAATGCAAGCAAGCACATTATTGTACAAAAGAATGTCAAATAACGGATTGGAAATTATATGGCCATAAACTCATATGTAAAAAACAATAAAAATGATATACAGGGTGTTCCAAAATTAAGAAAACAAAAAGGGTATGCTATAATAACGGATAATAGATTGTTAATGGTATTTTTCATACCTTTTATTGATGGAGAGAACTAACATTTTTATCACATATATATCTAGTTAAGATCTTTTATTTCTGAAAGTTTCAGCTTTCCACATCAATAAAAAATATAAAAAATGTTATTAACAATCTATTATCCATTATCACGGCATACCCTTTTTGTTTCCTTACTTTTGGGACACCCTGTATAAGCTTAGAGTTTTCATACTACTTTTCTAAAAGGAACTTTCTTTTTCATCATAACTATACAATTAGATGTAATGTCGTAAAAACCTCTATTGCATAATAAACAAGAACTTGCTTAGTACTTACAGTTATCACTGTAATAATTAGATGAAGTTGCTAATTCAATAACTCAAAGTAGAATTATATAAGTCGAATGCCTACAATCGCGGTTATATTGCTGAATATGAACTAGAGCATGTGGGAACATATAGTCTACGACAAAAGCTTAAGCAAAATTAGTTTTTCAGATTTTTTTTACACATTTTTCAATGTTTGTTTATAGAACACGACTCTATCTGTCTATATCGATTTCATACAATGAACATTGATTGTTGATCGAAAAAAGTATCGATGTGAAACTACCAGGCCGACCAATCAGATTTCAGATCCCATCGACCAATAAGAGGCGATCCATAGAATACCAAGCCCCGTCCATGAAATACCAAGGGATATGTCCTTAGTTATCAGCTCCAAAACTATTCACTTTTTCCTTCCTCGATCTTCTACGAAACTTCTAACTAACCTTCAGTCCAGAAAACACTTAAAAATAACGAAGAATATGTTCAACTTCGGGATGCCTGTATGCATCCTACCATACAATCCCTTCTACAATTCACATCACCACTAAACAGGTCCCAGCCATGAATTATATATCATTAGACGCAGAATTGAATGTTGATTCAAAATTAACTTCATCGATTGCCCGGACATATTTACGAAGAGGGAAAAACTCAAAAAAAGACGATAAGCTCAGGAAATGCAGGTGCTCCATCATATACTGTCCCTTCCAGCTGCCGGAAGGAAATATGTCCGGGCAATTCTAATTACAGATTCTGATTCAGCATGAAAATTCTGCTTCAGATGAATGCCCTGTGACGGCCTGAACATACTTCTTTCGATGGCAAAGTTACGGAAAACTGATCTTGTTGAGTATGGGTACGGTGATGAGTATTGATGATTCTAAGAAGAATATTTCTCTTCAATTCGCAATATATTTCGTAGATTTTTATTTTGTTTCGCACTCTAAAAAATTAAGACGCTTAGTTAAGATGCATTAAGTGTCTATTCTACATTAATTTTGTTCGAACGTCTAAAATCGGTCATCCGTTGACACTTGGCACATCTAGTTGAGACACATTATACGTTCAGAAAACATTCGTATCACATGTCTCAGCTAGACGTGTCAAGTGTCAACGGATGACCGATTTTAGACGCTCAAGCAAAATTAATGCAGAATAGACGCTTGATACATCTTGTAAGACGCATGGCATTTTTTAGAGTGCGTCGTGTCGTCAAGGAGGCCATGTCCAAATCGTTGACCTCCATAGGGTGTGGGTGTAGGTGTGGGCGGATCTTGTATTTGCTGACAACTACACCCACACCCAAAGCGTTAGCAAAGTATATTTTTTGAACTTGCAAAAATCCAACTACTTCTCTTGTCAAACACAAACTAGATTCTATAACAATTCTGATCGGCTAGACTCATATAAATGTTTATCCACAGGAATGCATTAGAAAAAATTCGAGCAACATAGATCCTGATAAAAATAAAATATATACCGTTTGCTAGGTTCATTCTAATGGCACAAAAATTTTATTTTCAATTTTAAGAATTGGTAGAAAACTATTGGTTTTCCGATGAAATAGTCTAGGACACTAAACACAAGAACATTCTCTGACAGTTCGAAATTCGAATTTCTTCTTATTCTTTTTAGCCGAAACTTTGGCGTAATGCCATGGTCGTACCTATGACTGGGCACCAAAAGAACATCCTTCACAATGAGGGTCTGGATGTGGGTCTCAGTCTCAGTCTTCTATTTAAACCCACACCCACACTCTCGACTTTACGTAGGGCACCTTCTGAATTATTCTCAGAATTAATAATTATGTTCTGTAGATCATTAGATACTTTTTATGGTAATAATGTATAGCTTGTATTGTTGGAGTACATAAGACGTTCGATTTATTGAAAATTTAGATATTTTATTAATGAGTTAGTATGTTTAACAAAACTAAAAGCAAAGGGCATATGTCAGATCAAAACGCAGAATATTAGTTAGATCACTACAATGAATGAATGAAAAATACTGTTTCTAAGATTAGTCTTCAGTTATACTTTATGTTGTTTAAAATAATTATCTTTCGCTTGGAGTCACTGATTACGTTTTCAGTCCACATTTGCGTGCACATGTTTCAAGGCCCTTCGATATGATTTCGGGCAAACCATTCACTAGTGCTTTAACTTTCTTCTCGGAATTAATTCCTAATGCCGGGCCAACAATTTTGAGTGGAAATTGTTGCATAAAAGCTGTAGCAAACAGACTGCCAGGATCCTCGCTGCTGAATGCTGATATCAAAAGGCCTCTTTTACAGCCCGTGTTTAGTGAAAAATGAACTGCTCCTTGTGGAATCACAAACGCTTGTCCCTCTTCCGCATTGACCACTACGGGATCGATACCATTTTCCATATAGAATCCATGTTGAAATGTACCTTTTGCAACAGTTATTAATATCGTTGCTCGCGGATGCGTATGTGGGTTAAGTATGCTGCACGCATTCATATATGTATAGCTCATTGCAACACCACTGTTGACGAGTGCAGGATAATTGCCAGCCTGAAAAAAAAGCGCTTAGTTTATGGTGTGTTACTAACCATGTAAAAGAGATATGGCATCCAACGACTTTTTTACTAAAATTAACATGGTAAACATCGTTTGTTATGATGTTAGTATAACAGCAGTTCAGGACAAGAGCGAGATCGAATGACAACAGAATGAAGAAAAAGATGATCCTTCACGGTACTCGAACAACACACTTTCTGCTGACCGGGTAGATATACTACTGTTATATTAAGAAGGACATTTTCTATTCCGTCTCATGGTCCACATCGTTTATATAAAGTATAGTAGGTGTTGAATGGGAAATCGTAGATTCCCTTTTTTGTCTATCAGATCAAACATAGATCTCAAAAAAATAGCTACTTAGTGTACATAGAAGCAAACTACTAAATAGTTTCAATCAATACCACTTTTAATCCTGTTTCGCAGCAAAACACAAGTTTTTCCTGGTATTTTGGCATCATTTCAGTTGTTGTAGGCAAAAATCTCTACCAAAAACAATTCAAATGATGCAAAAAGTAACAGCAAAAACTGATCCAAACTAATATGGACTGAAAATATCAGAAGTTTCTTCCATTCGAACACAAAATGAGTACATTTTCAACACCTCTGTCTGATCAGTTAATTTCAAAGTTTTGAACAAATGAAAATACGCTTTCACAATATCAACGTAAGAAGCTTCATAAAAATTTTTAAAATTTAACGAAAAAAAGATATTATCTTTTTCCGCTAATTTCTTGAATTTGAACGAACTAAAATGTCATTTTTTCATTAAATTTGCATATTTTTTATACACAAGCAGTGAAATACTTACATTTGCAGTTATTGATCGTCCGTCTGCGGTTTCTCTCACGCCAACTGTTGCTTTATTAAAATCGAACAAATAATTGCATCTAGTATCATTTGCCATTTGTGCTTCACGATCGCGTTCCGTCGGAGACGATTTCAATAGTCGCAAAAAACTGTCACTTGGCTGTTGTTCACCTGCACATGAAGCTTCATTGAAGAAAGCGAGTATCAATATTCCAATAAAAACTATCATTTCTAAAATCTGAAATAGACAATGAAATCATTTTCAGTCATTTATACTTCCATCTTCAAAACTAGCCATTTGACTGAACATATTAGTCAGTTCTGAACTCGTCTTGCATTTTCTATAGCAAACTTTAAAAATATATACAATGATGGCGATCTTATTATTTTCTCAATTTTGTGATTATCATGGTCACTAATTTTCCTTATTATGATAGGTTTAGGCAGTAGAAAATTCTGTCTACAGGAAAGTGGGTACAGCAATGTCAAAATCAGGTGTTGGCCATTTTCAACACCTCTTCAACATACGTTGTGATATTTACATGGCAATACGTGAAGATGAAGCTTTCTTCAGCAACTATGATTTTGTTGTGATATAACAATATTTTTTAATCAATAAATAACCATATCACATTTGATATTCCTTTTTTAATCTATTCTGATGATTATGCAGATTGTCCACAACCATCAGTTTTCCTTAAAATATAATATTTCTCAGAAAAAACAGTAAAATATACAAAGTTATCTTTGATATATCATGTAATGTTTTCTATGCCTATATATCCGAATAAGAAAGATTGACTCAACTACGTGTATAATAAAGAAGCAAAAAACTCAGAATCACTGAACCATGTATACATATTTTTCAGAGTTTTTCATGCTAAGAAAAAAAAATCTCTTCAAAATACGACAAACATACATCTACGACAGCAGTACAAATATATTTCGACATTTTCTACAAACGTTTTTAAACATTTGCTCATACTGCGCGAGTGTCACTTTTTTACATTGATCACGTATCTGTTTTGTTCGTATTACATGAAAGCATATCGTGCATCTTCAGTTAGTTTTAACTGGTTTGCTCAGATAGTGACATTAAAATGTCCTTTTGACAATGAAACATGAGTTTTCAATAGCATTCCATTCATTTTTTGTTTCAAAAGCAATAAATTCTTTCAACAAAAATCACTGAAAAGTCACTCGACAATACAGCTGATGTGATGAATACTTCCCACCATAGTAATTATCTAATCGAATAAGAAAGCCT